GGTAAAATAAATTCTGATGCCTGTGCCAGTGCTTATGAGACCCAGTGTTGGTTTTCACCACCGTTATGCCATTTTAATCAGTTAGAAATGATGAGAAACTGTCATTGTAAGTAAGTGGTGGTTGAGTAGGCCTGGTTGACCTTTGACCTATTACAATGTATTATATCCTGCGCAATTATCAAAACAATTGACTTTGTTAAAGGTCCATTGACTTCTTTTCTATTTGATTGACGTCTGTTGGGTGATTAGGTGCTGTGGGATCAAATCTTACTCAAGGTTATAAAAATTCTGATGCCTGTACCTATAAGAGTCGGTTCTACCTCTACCTAATGAATACCTAACGAGCTAACTAATTATTAATAAATAGCATCATAAATTAGAGAAACATTTTCATAAGTTTTCATGTCATGTCTCATTAGCGGCTAATTGCAAAATGAATCTATTTTTGACAATATTAAGAAAATAGATAATTCAATTTTGCATTCTTGTTAACACTAAATTGTTCCAGCTCTTCAGCGATAAGTCCAAGGACAACTTTTTTGGAAAACTGCAAATTTCTAAAAGCCTATTGGTTTAGAAAATAAGCAATCTGTCTTTGCTTAAAAACTGTGTGGAAATTGAAAAGGGAGAAACCATTGAAAGCCTTTCAATGAAAACATTGCAGAGGGGAAACATTTTTTAGAAACCAGCAAAATTCCAGAAAAGTAATTATTTGATATGTTAACATTGAATTTTCTGAATTCTCCGCGATGACGATTAGGAGAAACATTTTTTGATGAGTATTATATAAGAAGGAAATGAAATGAGTAATATTGTCAAGTATTGTATGATATACTGGTATATTGTCTATATATCTTCTTTATTTACTTACCATTAAAACAAGGTAGGAGTTCAAATTGTTAGTAAATTCTTTAGTTTATATGCCTCTTCATCTTATCTCAATCCAGTTTTTCCTTAGCTCAATATTTTTTAAAATCCATTTTTCCCTGTTGTCGTTCAGATGGGGCAATAAACATAGGCCATGTGTCTTGACTTGTCTATAACTAGTTTCCCCTTAGATCAAGATTTTTTTCATTGATGCAAGGCAGAGGGACTGATGCTGACATGGAAAAAGTGTCTAGTTCGAATGGGACAATAAACCGAGGACCTGTGTGCTACAGGCTGAGCATGTTAAAGATCATTTGGAAATCAAATACTGATATTTTGTCCTGAAAAATCATACTTTCACATAGTTTTTTCAGTCTTGTATGTTTAAAAATCCCATGACAGTGGGAAACTGAAAAAGGAAACAAATCAGTCAAAATTGATGAAGTATGTAATGGACTTTATAATCATGTATTTAATAATACTAATGCTAGATGTTAAAGGGCATTATGTCAGAGTTAAAAAAGTAACGAGTTATTACGCAGTTGTATTTATTTTATATTTAAAACATAGTTTGAGTTGGTTTATTGTTACTCATTTGCTTTCATTTGCCCACATCTTTTTGGTGAGAGATGTTCTGATGTTTGGGAAGAGTGAGTATCCTGAGCTTTTGTCACCAACCTCAAGATATGTTATAGTGGAGCTCAAATTGTATTAAGTATTCTTAAAGGGCAACAATTAGCTTTTTCATGGTTGATTTGGATTTGTGAACAGTATAACTGATTGACAATGAATTCAGGAATAGCACTGCTTCAAAAAATTGAAAGTAAAACTAAAGATGAGATCAGTATTATTCTGTTTTTCAAGTTGTCAAGTTTTTTATTGATGAAGAAATTGAAAGTAGAACAAGATGTGATGTCATGTTATGATGATATATATGATATTGAGGATGTTTTATGATGTGTGACGACCAACTGAGAATAGATTCAGGTCATTTCATACCTTACTTTCTCTTAATATTAAATGAAGTAAAAAGGTGTGGATTTAAAGGGATTGTAAAGAGTTTTTCTAACTTTTTAATTTGGATCATTAATAGGAACGATTTGTTCAATTCCAATTTTAAGTCAGATGTCTGTGGTTCCTGCAATTCCACAATAATTCAACATGTTATGATGTCACTGTGGTAAAAGGTGCTAATGATATCTATGGACCTTTGTGATAGTGACGTCATAAAGCGCTTAGTTTCAATGATATTGCCACCTGCAGATGTCTGATGAAAATTTGGAATGATGCAGATTGATGCTATCAGTGTCCTCAACACACATAAAACATGTACAAATCCTTTACAATCGACTACTTGATAAAGACTTATTACCATCATGAAGACATTACGTTTAAAATTTGTACAAGCACGACAATTCTGTTAAACAAAATCTCGCCTAAGGTATGGCAAAATTGAATAGTAGTGGACTCCTCCAAAGAGAATTATCAGCAGGTAAGAAAGTTATTTATTAGACTAATTGTTATCCAGTAATTGTGTACAGTTATAACATGTTACGTGCATTATATAATGTCTCAAGGTTTCGTTATGTCAACATAAACTTTATAATGAATAAAAACATACAAGCTAGGACAGGGTTAAAAAGCTCTCATTGTCAGTTAGTGTGAAGGATTATTTGATTTAACAATAAGAAGAATTTAAGACATGTATAATCTTACTGTTTCTCATACAAACCAACCCACCTTTATCTCTATCTATAGCCCGTGTTTTTAGGATTGACAACAGTTAGTTATCATTTAATTGTAGACAAACAATATGCCAGATTCTTATTTTGAAAATTACAGATTTGAATTGAATCTTACTGTTTCTTATACAAACCCACCCACCTTTATCTCGATCTATAGTCTATATTGTTTTAGGATTAACAACAGTTTGGTATTTGTAGACAAACTAAATGCCAGAATTTAATTACGAAAATTACTATTTAAAGTTAGGTTTGAATTTAATTGTTGTTAAACTACTCTTCTCTTCCTACAGCTTGTGTCCTTATTAGTTTACAACAGTTTGTTATCATTTTATTGTAGACAAACTATGTGCCAGATTTTTATTTTGAAAATAAATACACATTTGAATTCAGAAATATGCCAGTATCACAAAAATGTTTCATTTAGAAAAAAAAAGTTGTTATCTTTGTCTAATGGCTTTGACTTTATAAGTGTTTTACATTTCAAACCCTGAATTGAAAAAAGGTACAGTCTTAATGTCATGACAAAAAAGAAATAAATTTTTAGACTTGAATTAAATTCTCTGTAAATGAATAAGGTGGTTAGGGTTAGGTGATAAAATTCGAATAGACCTGTAAATAGGGTGGCCCAGAAAATGACAATCCTTAGTTAACATATCTAATTATCTTAATCTATAACTTGCACCATGTTTTATCATAAATCTTTACTTTGTGACCTAGGCCAGTGCTTTCATGAGACTGTGTTCTCATCACCATCTAACACTACTTTTTATTTGTTCAATAAAATGAAATTACATTACTACTTTTCAGTATTATATTTTTTGACAAGAAATTTTAAAAGGCTGCTATTTCAAAGTATTTCAACCTACAGAACTGTAATTTGGTGAAAAGATATCTAATATATTGATTATTATGAGGCCAAAATTTTATGATCTTAGCTTTGATACTTTGTAAATTATCCTGAAATGAAAAATGTTATAATTTTTCCTGGACCACCCGATACATTTAAATTGTACTGAGTATATCAAAGTTCATTTCAATATTTTTTTTATTATTTCCTGTTGAATGATATCATGTTGAAACGGGTGACGAGTGAGAAGACCTCTGTAAAATGTGGACAAGTTGAGTCATGGTGTTGATCTGTTGAAATATATTGTAGGTTTTATAAACTTGATTGTGTGTGTAAATGAAATAACTAATGTAGATGTCACTGTCAAATACTAAAGACTATTCTGTGTATGGTTAATTGAAATAATCTTACAAATATTTTAACTAAGTCACTGGCAAAGACATGAAACTTGTATTTTGTAAATATTTACATAGACGTTTTGAGCTGTATTTTAATTCAGTATGGAAAGTTAAAGCTGATCAGTAGAATGCTTGTGCAAGGTTTCAATAAGAAAGTGAATGATCTAGATTGTGAGACTCAACCTTAAGTTTTGTTACTATTTCAAAACTTTGTTTGAATTGAAGACAAATCAAATGTCTTATTCTCTCTGTGAAAAGCGATATGTATGTGATTCTTTCAGCAAATATTTTGATCACTGTATCATTTAAAAGTAAAACATGCTTTTTTAAAAGGTATTAGTATTAACCCTTGCAGTACTGATGGCAACTGTACGTTTAAAATTACGTGATAATACCTGAACGGCCATTGAAATAAAGGTAAATTAGTGATGTAACAATTAACAATGTTATTGACATACAATCTAAGTTATAATACCTTGCTTTTAGGCAATATGAATATTATATGATGGTTAATTTTATTCAAACTCAGTGTTCAAAGGGTTAAGGGTATATGATGTTTAATTTAATTCACAGTGTTCAAAGAGTTAAAACAATAAAATGGTACATTGTTATGTGGTCTCAGGAAATATGTGGTGAAATATGTATGTTTATGTGGTCTCAAAATATTTTGATATGTATGTATATTTATCTATATACAATGTATATACAAATAAATATACGTGTTTATATCAATATTTATTTTATTATCATTCCAGATAACCTGACCTAATTAAAAACATGTCAACATGGATACCAGATGACCTAGTTTTAATAATTAATGCTCAATTAACAAAATAATTGATAAAGATACAGAAGAAAGCATGATCAGAAATTAACGTGATAGCTGATATTTTAAAGTTTTAATCCCTTGTTTGTGATAAGTGTATATTTGAACAAATTGTTTTGATAGAGAAAAGCCTGTGTTCTTTGGGAATCATCATTTTAAGGATTGTGACTTTGATTTCTGAATTTTGAATGAGGATATTTTTGAAATAGTGCAAATGTACAAGTGTTATATAACTTTGGAAAAAAAATTGAAGCCATTTACAGGAGTGAAAATTTAATTGTGTGATTGATTTCTGTGCAAAAGTGAAAACTGAAAAAATGTCGAGAATGGATGGATATTTAAACCCAAGTGCAATAAATTATGAGGATCGTGATGCAAAACCGAGTCCTCATTTTCAAAAACAGAATCAAGATGTGAACAGCAGTGATACATATTTAGATATGCAAAATCAGAACCCGAAACCAAAATCTCAAAATCATATGAGCAACATTTCTCCAACAAGCCAAGATGGCTACTTAAATCCACATCCGTCACAACATGGACGAAAAGAAAAAGACGCCTCAAACTCAAATATTTTCAATTTACGAATCTCTCCTAAACCTGACGAAATCTTACATCCTCGAAACTCAGATCAAAATCAAAATATTCCGCCAAATAACAGACCAACGAATCATCAACCTTCCCAGAATTCTTACATCAATGACCATCATGCACCATTTCAGACTTCCGCGTATTTAAATCCTCATCCGACTCAGTATGATCTTGAACGCCAGCAACGCATAAATTCTGGAAAAACTAGATTTGATTCAGGTAGGAATTTTGTCATAGGTTTTGCTTTTCTCAATCTAAAACTACACCAACAGTTTTCAAACGATTCTGATGAAACTTAAAATGGATGTTTCGTTTTTACCATCCGCATGCCGTGGTGGGCGTATATGGCTGTGGTCCACTATCTTTTACTCCACTACTCAATATCTAATTCTTCTTTTAATAATTTGCAGAAATGCAGTCAAACTCTGGATCTAAAACATCATAACACATGCTTATAACTCACAAACAAAACAACTTGGGGAAGACAATTGACAACACTAGGATATTTGACTCAAATTACTCATGTATATTAGGTAAATCAACTTGTCAGTCTGAAGTCTTTATATTTGACATTTACAATATTTTTATGTTTCTTTATCAGGTGTTGGTGATTTAGAAATGAACAATGTTTCTCCGTTACCTCGTAATTCAAAGGCGTATGAATACATGGATTCTCCAAATCATTATGAAGAAGTTCCCACATTACAAAGGTCAGTGACAGTCTTATGTGATTATTTTTTGTCCTGCATTGAAATGTACAGTGAAAAAAAATTGTACGTAGTTTACATGCAGGTCTTCATAAGGTAGAGCTGTGGAATACACAATAATACTGGCTCAATATATCAGTGAATCGATGTATTGCGATACGACATGCCATGAATCGTGAAGTCGTGTATCAATACTTGGTGATATCTTTTATTCCAAAGTTGTTTTTTCACTGAAATTGTTACAAATTATTTTAAGACAGTAGACACTAACCACTTCTATATATCACAGTTATAGAGTTATGAATTAATATATATAGAAACTTATAAGATAAAACGTTAATTTTTAACCCATTATCTAATACTAATACACAATATTATCACGCACTATTATGGTGTCTGCGTTATGCCAACTTCTTGATTTTTTTGTCTGGATTTGGTGCATATTATTTACTGCGGCAGATTTACTTAGTTGTGCACATTTTATTTGTAATCATAGATTTCGGTGCATATTATTTACCTTGACAGATTTACTTGTAGACAGTTTATTTGCAATTATAGAGTAAACAAATTAAATTCATATAAATTATGAAAAGAATTGGGGAATGACTAGTGTACAATGAGGGAAAAATTGTTTAACAGTCTGTAGCACACAGGGTTTATATACATGTATATTGATATATTTTCAGACAACCACCTGATTTACTAGTAGGAAGACCACCTGTAAATGATTTAATCATAACACAAAGTACAGATGATACTGATGATAATACTACAGTCTTTAGATCTACTACCAAAAGGTATGTTATTAATCATTTCAAATCAAGTGAAGCAGGTGTCCCATTTCCCAAACATCAATTTTGTTGTAATAATGGTATTTCTCAATGAAAAGGTCCACACTTACGACAAATTCTAATCAATTTTTCCAAAGTTAACTCCCATTTCCAAAACAAGCTGTCCTGATGAGGATTGTGTATCTCATACACCCATCTGCAGTATGAGATGAGCTCTAGTCAATTAGCTTACATTAAGATCTATATTAGAAAGTTAATCTCCATTTCCAAAACTAGCTGTCTTGATGAGGATTGTGTATCTTTTCAGCGATTTTTCAGTTCTTTTCACATATTTTAAAAGTCAAATATTGGAAAAGTAACCCCATGATCATCCTGAAGAGTATTTTATCTCAAACCATGTATTGGCAGCTTGAGATAAGCTTTAGTCAATTTGATTAATATATTCTATTTTTTAAAGGAAATATACCAATCCACTGTACTCGAGAATGGTGAGCGTGGCATCAAGTTTTTTCTCTGATGATAAGACTTCCTCCAGTCCAGTAAAACAGGTGGATCATTTAGAAAAACAGGTGTGCTGTCAGTGTGTGTTGATCTTGATACTATTAATAGTAACACTGGGTTCCACAGCTCTGTGTGTTTATCTGATGATCCAATCAGAAAGTAAGTAAATGTTGCTTTGATTTTGTCATGATTTTCACTATTGTCTCTTCAATACGGGGGAAACTTTACATTTTTCTATCGCGTTTCCCTTTATATAATACATATTCATGATGTCACATGATTTTCAAACCAGCCAATCAACATGCTTTCAGATGAAAAATTTGTTATGTTTCACTTTTTTCTCTTCAACCTGTCCAAATCTTATTTATATTTCTACTGACAAGGAAATATCAGCAAGAGCAATCCTTAAATCCTGGTCTTAGGAACAATGGAAATATATATTCAGTATGTTAAATGATTTTCAAACTGGCAAATCAACATGCTTGGACATAGCCATATTTATGTTTTGTTTTGTAAATATGAACATACTCTTAAAAAGTCATGATTAATATATGAGTACAGGCAACCCCTGTCATTTGAAAAAGGTTGTTGAAATTGAACACTATTTTGATAAAGTGAACCATGGTTCTGTCAATTTATTGATATGTTGGCGTGGATTTAACAAAGATGGCTTCATAAATTGCCAAATATTGATCAAATACCAGTATTAAACCATGTGTATATGGAAAAATTCAAAAATTCAAAAATGGGCACGTTATTACGTGAATATCTTTCCTGGGGTGATTGCATTTTAAAATGATGCTGAAAATCTTTAATTCTGGTAGATACTAACCTCATGGTAATGTTCTTTAACGATATATTTTCCAGCCTACGTGAGCACTAATGAACTGTTATTAAGGATACAAAAACTTGAAGGAAATATGCACAAAAGTTCTGCTGTAAGTTCTAATTTTTTTAAAGAAATACAATAAGATTTTTTATAATTCTTAATCTTCAGTCATACTTCAAGTGTAAGTTCATAATTTATATAATTTTGCATATCACTTTGTTTATCTGTGGTTGACTCCAATATTTTAACTATAAACTTCACAATCGAATGTAATTTCAGCTGAAAGGGAATATATCTGGTGGTGTGGATTATAATTTACAACAAATCTCGATGAATCGAGACCAAATAGAATTCACGTATAAAAACTTATCGTCTCAACTAAACAGTATTACTGATAATCTTCAACAACAGATTGATAATGTCTCTAAAATGGAGGTAAGAAAAAAGTCAAATTTATATATAGACCGCACTCAATACAAAACAATCTGCCTCAAGACATACAAAATTTGTACTTGACCTTGAATATTTGAAGGGACTAAAATTAGAAATTATGTACAGCACACTTTTTAACCTTTAATGGGACAATCCGCTTTTTTTGTATGTCAAAATATTTTGTTGTGCTCAAATTCATGAAAACTATACACCAAAATCTAGAGAAAAGTGCCCTTTTACGTAACTGAATGAATCCAAACACCAAAACTAGGTCACTCTGCTTTATTAACAATTAGCACTCTCCGTTTTTAAAAAAAATTCAGTTTGATCAAGTAGATACATAGATATAAATAGCATACTGGCAACAAAATCCTTATTATCCAATGATACGAATAAAATAATTTATTTATTTATATAACTACCTGCAAACAGGACTGATTCGACTTTCTGGTTCTCATCAGTGCAGTGCTGATACTGGAGTTGAGGTTTGACTATATAGCCGCCTCAGATGATCCCACATATGTGGTATCATCGTACCATGCTAGAGTGCTCAAACTAGCAAGCTAGTGATCTACGCACACTCTCTAACGACAATAGTACACTCTATTCCTTTAACTCTGTTTCATTACATATATATTTAAAATTGTAGGGTCCACCAGGAGTGGGGAATCTAACGGCATGTTTTTATAAAAACTTGACATCCAGTAGTATAGCTAGTGGTTTTAGTTCAACAACGTCATACGGCCCTTCTTTAACTGATTTGGATGTAAGTATTTTAGATTCAAGTTTCAACAAATAGTTCCTGGATTTCGTTCTTTGGTAATGTTTATCCTTGCATTCATCAAATGAAATGAATTTTAGTGTCCTACTTTTCTGCACCGGAGGACACGTTTTCTATACCTATACCTCACTTCTGAATGACCTGAGGACAGGTAATGTCATGCAAAGTGCAATGAGGGAAATTTTGCTATGACAGTGGCATTAGCCTAGTCTTTATTGATTTCCATCTGTTGAGTGATCGCTAAAAGTGCACAGCCTGTATCACACAGGGCCTATCTCATAGAGTCATCTAGACTCCTCCTCGAATTTTAATGACCTTTACGGGCAGACATTATTTACATTTTTAATTTACTCTTCTAGACACCTTTTCATTATGAAATATTTACTCTCATATACTTCTTCATTTGAAAAGTTTATTAGCTGCTATCAATGTCTCGTCAATATTGTTTAGATTCTGAGTGTTGTTTTACGGTTCTGATCGTTAGTACTTGGTTTATTTTTTGTCATAATTGGAAATTAGAAAACTGATAATAAAAGCTGTATTTTGTTTCAGACTAATGTGATTATGTCAGCATCGTGTTTAGTAGTTGGAGGTTTGAGAGCCAAGTTAGAAATAAACTTTACAGATGATAAACTACAGTACAGGTGTAGATGTGAAGAAAAAATACCTGGTGCTAAAACTAGAATTTGTACTTTACACATGTTATTGTGTCCTAAATTTTCCTAATTAACTGGAGCTCAACGCATGCTGCTAATGCGTGTTTTGGAGAAACAATCCTCATCAGGACAGCTTACTTAGAATGGTGGTCAACTTTCTAAATTTGGCCTTTAGGCTTATGAGCGGAGTAACCTAATTCATTTAACATGTGTTAATATCCTGAATACTTTTAATTGACAAGAGCTCATCTCATGCTGGTGACATGTATTTACTGACACATGTTTTGTGTTTCTAAATATTCTAAACTAGAGCTCATGTAATTCATTCAATGTGTGTTGAATCCAGAATACTATCAATTGACTTGAGCTTGTCTCATGTTGCCGGCACTCGATTTGGATCCAGAATATTCTGAATCGACTAGAGCTCATTTTATGCTGCTGACACACGTTTTCGATCCGAAATATTATTAATCGACTAGAGCTCATTTCATACTGCTGACACATGGTTTGGATCCAAAATATTATTAGTTGACTCATCTAGAGCTGGTCTGATGATGCTTAAAAAGATATAAATACAGTAAACTCTTTTAGAACAGAAATAAATAGCATGGAAGATGAAGAATATGGCATCACATTAAATATAGGTTATCATCGATTAATGGCATTTTATATGGCAACATTCTGCAAAGCAGAAATTATCAGAAATGGACATATTTTTTTAAGCTCAGAAAGGTGCTGAACAAGTGAGCATTCCTATACTGTAACATTATTTATTTTGTGGGCTCCTAGTTCATGAATTTTGGTTTCAAAAGCCTACCTTATTTAGTGTGATAGTGGACTGGTTTTGAAGATTGTCTCATGAAAATAATAAATTCATAGTAGACCTATTAATTTGGAGAAACAACTTATTCTGAGCAATATATCTTATCAATGTGTTTATTTTGTATTCTATTGATAAATGCAGTTAATATACAATGTATTTATTTTGTAAGTTTTTAAAAATATTGTAAATTATTGTAAATTGATATATATATATCCCATTTTGGATATAACCTTAATGAAATGTTTTAATTCTATTTTATTTAAGAATAAACCTCTACTTACTTTAAAGTCTTTGAAAGGCATTTAGTAATTGTGAGTACAATTTATAGACACAGCTTTATGGAACGACAATCACTGGTTAAAGTTTTATGCAACGTTTCGACGTGTGTCTATATACTCTACTTACTTTGTTTGTTTTTTACAAATTTTAAGATTTTTTTGTTAAGATTTTATATTTTTCAGCCAAATAAAAGCTGACTAAAAATGGCCAAGTTCCTCTTTTATCATAATAGGTCATGTCTAAACTTACATTGTTAAAACCCTTACTTTATTTATACTGGAGAAATGGATTTTATTTGTTAATTAAGCCATAGAGGAGACTAGAAGTTTCATTTGTATATGATATGTTTTTGTTACTTACTAAGCTTGCTATGTTCGTAAGTATGAATGGTATAATTGATATGGTTTAATTATCTATTTGTTAAGGTCTATGTTCTAGTATGAGTTCAAATGGCCAAGTTTCAATTGTATATGATAAGTTTTTGTTTGTAAGCTTGAATTGAAAAATTTAAATGGTTTATATGTTTATTTGTTTCAGACCTATGTGCTAGTATGTGCTGAAATAGCCAATTTTAAATGATATGTTATGTAAATTTGTTAGGCTTATTTTGTGTATGTAATAGAAATTTGGACGTGGAAGCCTGTTGTTTATTTTGTAATAAGCAATTTCCTTTAGAATTAGGAATGTTGAGAAATTCGTAAAAATTTTCAATATGCTTATTTAGTCTTTTAAAATCATTCCTGAATTTGAAATTCCTCTTCCATAGAACAATAATTTAGCGGATATTTCAGATGTAACTATTCATTCATGGCATTCCAAAATGGTTTGTTGTTAAATTATACATAGAGTAGCCTCCCTTGACACACTATTTGAGTATAAAAAGTTCAAATTCAGAGACTAAACATTCCAATTATGAAAAAACTCTATGTTATTTGTATTTTTTATTGTACAAATTCAATTTGTTAATGTTTGTTTTTAAGTATTACACTAATGGAGGCAGAATAAAACTCGTAATATTTGGGAATTATCTCCCTTCTAGCATTAATTGACTATGCAAGAAAAATGCATTTACAAGGCAGCAGAATTTTATTTTGCACAGTTTATATTTAAAAATGATATATGTTTGCATTGTAACATCAGCAAAAAGTCATTATAGTATATTTGGCACTTAGTTAAGTTTTCAAAAAAATGCATTTTTCAGGCAGCGATTTTACCACTTGCATATATATATATTTAAATAGTGTAAAATTATTTTTGCAATGATTATTGTAAGTAAATTCTGTATATTGTGGTAGTTGATTATTATTTTCATCTTGAGCTCACACCAATGACAGAATGTCTTGCATCTCTTCTTTCAAGCAAATTACATACTAAACTGATAGGCAAAACAATGTCATGTAGTTGTATTATATCTTTATTTTTAAAGACATCAGAGAAAGGTTATATATATATATATTGAAGTAAAAACATGGGAGGAAGCAATATTTTATCAATAATAATATGATAGTAGATATAGTATACAATGTTTACTTACATATAGTCTGTATTTTATACTATCATACAGAGAGTCTACTAATGATAAAAACAGGTGCCTGTGGGAGAACAACAGTGTTAAAAGATCTTTAAGGTAAAGAAGCAGTAGAATGTTAAACGAGTTGATTGACTACTGAACATGTAACAGTGTCTGGTTTATCAGTATATATAGATAGAAGAGACGTTTCTTTTGCAGTTCAGTTCAGTATATATTTTGTGATATTTGCTAAGTCTTGAATGTTGTTTTCAGTCTTGTTATTGTATTTAGATTTATAAGATTGATGTATTTAGATTTATTTTGTTAATTTTTGAGATGAGATTTGTTTTAAAGTATTTTTTGTGTATATATTATGTCAGATTTTGTTATGTTATGTAAAATATTAAATTTTATGAAATTGGCAGCCATTTTTCAAAGCTGTTTTATTCGCAGATGTTGGCAAATATCTTAAGAAGTTTTTTTCTAATTTTCCTTTTGCTTGTCTTCCATTTCAAGATATTTCGCCAAATAATTTATAAATTTTGAAAGAGCTAAAAGTTGAATTATATTTTATTACAATGTTTTGTTTTATATTTTATAAATTTTTGTAAATAAAATATCATGAAAATTGATAGTTTTTTGGAACAAAATTCCTGAGAACTTCTTTCTTTTACAGAGGTTTTAAACCCACAGTGCCTATTTTCCCAGCAGATAAAGACACAATACACCTTGCTCTCTACATCTTCACAATGGAAGACTAATATAAACTTTGTCTTATACCTTGACTGCAATAGCCACTTTCTTGTATCACGGAAGTTTGTAAATGCAGTGATTTAGTTGGATTGTATGTTAACAAAAACAGCCAATCAGAGTCTCCGACAGAAACTCTGTAAACAATAAGCCATAATGTCTGTCGATTGGCTGTATTAACTGGCATAGTATCCAATCAAAGTGCTGCATTCTGTGATACAAGAAAAGTGGCTATTGCAGTCAAAGTATAAGTGAGGTTCATTATAGCCTGACATTGTGAAGATGAGGTGTGACTAGAGGAGATGCAGTGTACAATGAGGTTTACAGTCATAAATGATGGCATCTTCAAGGGGCCCTCAAACCACAGTGAAGATGAGGTATAACACACAGTAATACCTTGACATTGTGAAGATGAGATATAACACACAGTAATACCTTGACATTGTGAAGATGAGCTCCCAACTGCCTGAACCATTCCAGTGCCATTTTGGTTCCACTAATGATTTATAAGTCAAATCAATTTTCTTTCAATAGAAGAAGTTCAGTTCATTCATTAATGTTGATTCCTCTGTATGTACACACTTTTTATATCAGTATTGATAATCCTTACATAAGACAATAACCTTGATATTATTGATGAAAACAGCAAACATTGGTTGTAGAGGTTGAAAACTGTCCTTTGGAAGCTTTCTTACCTGCGTACCTAAGCATCTAGCGAACAACAGTCTTACTACCGACTGAGCTATTCCATGACTCTTGGAACCATTAGCATAGGAATCATAATATTTCTTACGCTGAGAAGGATTTGAACCTACAGCGCCTAATAGCCTTACAGATGACAATCCCACTTAGAACAAACTGAACTATTCCATGGCCTTGTGGGAGCCATTATTATTTTAGGGAGTGTGGAATGTCTCCCTGTTATTTGATGGGAGCAGAAAAAATAACAGAGCATTGCTTAAAATTTTGCAACTGCTACCTAAAAAACATGCAACCGGAAATACCTCAAGATGATGCAGGCAGCCCCCCGCCAGGAATGAATTGGTGCTGGGGCTCAGATTTTGTAGAATTAAAGGCCCACAAAACTCATTTCTGACAATTTTGAGCTGCCAAAAATGTATCAAAATCTATACCTTTTTGCTTATGTATAAATGAAATGAATCAATCTCTGCTGAACTGAAAAAAAAAAGGTTTGCTGTGGCTTGATTCTCACTTGCTGGGGCCCAGCTCCCATAGACCCCACCCTAACCGCAGAGCTGGGTGCATGTTCTATACGGATAATTTCTTTAATTACTGGAACCGAAGACATCTGATGGACAATTTGAATGGTGCTATCAGCGTCCCAAGTACGTACACATAATAAAAAAAAAATCTTTACAATCGTTTTAGATTCCAAGGTTAATGTCCTCTGTCGCCCACTTGTGACATGAAGATTTCTTTTAGCATCAAAACAACATGCTTGACCGATTTCACCTGGAAGTACCAGACTTACAGGAATAGCAGAACAATGGATATTGATTATCTATTCAATTCCAATCAGCTGTAAACATTTACTCATAATAAAACCTTGAGATAAACGATAGAATTTAATAATTTATATTTCCATCATCAACAAAATTAATTCTGTTTCTTCTTAGTTAGAATTTTGATACATCTGCTAATTGCTAAATTAAGAAAATAATTAGCAGATTTGCACATTTTGAACATCAACATAAAAACATCTTTGAAGATAAAAGATATAATTTAATAATTTATATTTCATCATCAACAAATTTCTTTTTATTCCTTTTTTGGTTTAAATCTTTAGATAAATGTTTGCCATTTGCGATTGCTAAATATGGAGATATACAACTGCCAACCCGATCAACTTGACGCTTCTACGATGCCAATCCCTCTGATTTTATCACTGTGGGAACCAAGTTTGCAAATCTGAGGGTTTTATCTCATGATTGAACCATGGACCTACAGATTAGGGTGCAAGTACCTTCTCTTCCCAATTATACACAGAACAGGAGCTGTGATATTTTACCTGTAGCTTCCTGTAATTTATTTCTAGCATCTGTCAAGGTTAAGTTTGTTGTAATTAAAACTGATTAATAATGGACAAGATTAATTAATGTTTGAAGGAATCGGGTGTCAAGAGTTCAAATCTCCATAACTGTGAATAATAATATTTACATTGTATCTTGGCATTTAATAGTTTACAGTTTCTGACATGACATTGGCTTTTCACTCAAATAATCAAAGAAAAATGTCACAATTAATTCTATACCAGATCATGCTTTAACAAGAATCTTTACATTAATGGGGCTCTTCCACTTAAATCACCATTTCAACTTAAATATATTATTCTTAATCATAGTTATTAATTCACTGTATAATAGGCCTCTATGCAATAGTTGAAAAAAGCTTTCAATTAGGCAGACTGCTGAATATCATTTGTTTTATATATTTTTCATTATTCATTCATTCCTTCATTCATTCCTTAATTAATTAACCCATCCTTTCATTCATTCATTCATCTCTCAGTCCTTCAAACAATTCAGAGATCTTAAATTTTCCTTCATTCAATCAAACAATTCAAAGATCTAACTTTTTTCATTCATTCATTCATTCATTCATTCATTCATCTCTCTGTCCTTCATACAATTCAGAGATCTTAATTTTTCATTCATACATTTAACTCAGTCCTTCAAACAATTTAAAGATCTTAATTTTTCATTCATTTAATCATCCCTCAATCCTTCATTCCTTCATTCATTCATTGATCCAAAATCTAAATTTTTCAATCAGCATTAATATATCATAGATTACCTAATCAATGTTTGACAATTAAAAACAACTTTAATGACACAACTATATCGTGATGATCTAAGACCCATTTTGATTGGATGTCTCTTTATTTGTAGCAGACGACATCCTGAAATACGGTTAATTTGATCAAAACAATAATAAACCCTCCCCTATTTATTTACCTGTCACCTTGACTACCTGTGGTGACGTCACATGAACATGCTCACACGGCGAGATTCCAGTAAGTGATATATGACAGGAAAAACATTGTAGAGTTTATTATTGATCATCTTTGACTGACAGCTAGACAGGTAAATACATTCTTTTATTCACGCTTTTAAGTTCTTCAGTGTAAGGTGCATTATCGAGGTGTGGTATATTGCGAGGTGGGTAATAATAACGTTTACAGTTATCTTTTATTTCATAGTAAAGTGGGCAATAACTTTTATACACCACAGTTGATATTGCATGTTTTGGCTAGTGCCTTTTTATACCGGTATATCAGCTAAATCATATTGCCAAGCTTATCTCTTCAATTAAGGTTTTTAAACGATACATTTATGAATATGATTTCATATAGGGCTATAAGTTTGATATACTCCAGACGATGTTGTTTCCTATTTAATTTTTGATCAGTTGATCTGATTCTATTAGTGAAGTAATATCTAGATGTGTATAATTTTTGCCAAAAATTACATTTTTCTTATGAAAGACTTAGTTTTAAATTTCTTTTGAAAGCGAGGTGAAGATGTATGTATATTTTAAGCTTCCATTTACTATTGAGTGGCATTGTAAAAGCACAGGCTCGTGCAAAAGGCTCGTGTTTCAACAACTGCAATCAATCTCTTTGTGCTAACTTTATAAGGGTGATAGGTCTGTAAGAATATTTTGTTGCAAAAGGGAATTTCTCTTGTGCAGTAAATTCTCATTTACTTGTAGATCCAATAAATATAGGGCTAATGCTGAATGTTTTACAATATCATAACTTCAAAGTGTTTCATTAGATATGAAATAACTTCTTACTGAAGTGTTTTAAAAGATTTTATAAGCGGTTCTAGTAGTCAAAGTGTTTACTCATTGATCTACGAACGGGTATTGGCCAACTAAGTAAGATGATGTATATTAAAATCTAACCATAAGTTTATATAAGAATATAAAGGCTATAATTGGGTTATATTACTAGTTTATTGTAATATTAATGATAGGATTAATTGAGTAAGTTGGGTATTAACACTGAATATCAATATTATTGTGGCTTTTGATTTATAGAAAGTGGATTATCAGGATTTTATGATTTAATTGTACATGTATTTAAAAAGTTTTATGGATTAGCACACAATATATACATTTTTATTGCAGTGTTGAACTCAGTATATGTTTAAAGCACAAATTTAAATGTTTTAAGAGATTCTTTCTATGTAATGCCTTTAAGCCCAATAATAATGCAAAAAAATCAAAAACAAAATCACTCATCAATTGTGCCTTGGTGCATTCATATAAGAGCTTATGTTGTGCCTTGAAATCACCTAGTATAGAGGGCAATACAACTAATTGCCAACTATGAGCTATTCCACTGCTACCAAGGACAGTCTTACAACCCAAGCAGTACCGCAGATGGAAGTTTTGACGATTGCGCAGTTCAAAACTTGTATACCCTTGTATTCCTACAGCCAGACATAAGCTTGGAGAATAATGCTTGTATTATTTTGTATTTCAGAGTTATTACATGTGAAAAAAAAGCAAAAATCAAAAATCAACCTTAGTATTATTAACATTGACTGCTGAATTTAAAATAAACATTTAAAATGGGATGTGGGTCGTCTGCCCCTGTTATCGGTGAAGCTACGGTGACAGATGACGGAACACAAACAGATCGTAAAACAGAGAAAGAATTAGGTGTGAAAAAATCGTCTAAAAATAAAGTCATACCATTAGATAGCAATAGTAATAGAGAAGATCTGAATTCTAGCAATCCAGGTAAGAAAGCAACTTTTTCTTCAGGGTCGGTGAGGGGGTGGGGGTTCTACCGTGGTAATTTTGTATTTAGAATGCGTACTTTACCCTACCACCAGTATCAAGGCTGGTTTGGCTTTGCCCTAATCACATTTAAAATTTCAACTTTTTTGAATAATTAGAAAAGAACCCTCATGTAGATGATAGGAGTTGAAAGCTAATGCAGAGCTGACTCTCTCCCACTGGACCAAATCACTTTCAACTGAGCTATTCCTACGCTATGTTGAAGCCTAAATAATGGATCTTTTTTACACCATGCTGGTTGTCTTTTATAAGCTAAATTCATCCTGCAGCAGTGTTTGAGGTTACTTTTTTTATAGGTCAGTGGTACTAAGTTAACCGTGTGGTCCAAACTAAAAGTTTAATGACCTCTTTCTTTAGATCTTTTAAAAGAAAAAAAACAATCAATATGTTTAAATGTTCTTCAGTCGTTTAATCTTACATTATTTATTGTAAAAATTGATTTTTTTTATAAAAACTCTTTTAAATGGAGGCGTAGTTATAGAAATCTAAAAGTTCAATAAACTCAGCACAGTGGCATTTGTAGGTCAAATGTGTACGTAATCTACCATTGTTTTTTTAATGAAAAATGATTGCAGTCCAAAGAGCATACTTTTATTTCAAAAATTTAACTTTTAGTCAACTTTTTAGCAAGTTTTTTTTACCATAACACTTCTTAAAATAAACAAAAAGATACTCTTTCATGCACTTTTAAATTGTGAAAACTGGAAAACAGATCTAAAAAGTTGATGTGGAAGCTAATGATAGGGGTTTAAAGCTGTACCGCTCCAACTCTCAGAAGCACCGGCTGTGGAATTGGAATTAGAACCAATGATGGAATTAAAGTCAATATTACTATTTTCATTCTTTTGATATTTTCAGTACCGAAATCAGTAGCATTTGAAGTCCCATTAGGACCTGATAAGGATAAAGCAGCTCTATTTTTAGCGAAACCTCCACCAAGATTAAAGGTAAAAATTAATATTTCTATCAATACCCAATATGATATTATTGGTTACTTTTAAGTGTTGGTTATGGATGGGATAAGCTGTTGATTTGTCACATTTGGCGATATATCTTTTGTTCATGATCAGGTGACTCATTTTGTAAGTGGTGTAGATTTGCTGTCTGTTTTGTAATTAATGCCAACATTCCTAATTATCAAAATAATGTCAGAAATGGTGACATTTCTTATATTGATTCTTGCTAAGCATGAGTTATGGCCGAGCTAAGCTGTAAGTTTGTCAGCAGGCTGTCATGTCTTTTGTGGATGATCAGGTGACTCATTGGGTTGTGATTTAAATTTGATGTCTGCTCGTTACAAGAGAGAGATCCATTGGATATTAAATTGTAAGTGTGCACCACATTACTTGGTATATTTCAAGAGCAGAAACATCCTGTTTCATTGGGGAAAATATTACATGATTATTTGATAAAATCAAGAATGGTTTAAAAATATCAAAAAATTAAAAAGAACTGCATCAAAGGAAATTTTGTTATAGTAATGCTTGTTATTTTTGTAAAGGGCACATAATCCCCCGTAAAGCTACATATTTATTAACACCTACAGTCTTCTTTAAATCAATTTTCTATTTTGATTACCATCAGTTGATAATCTGGTCTATTCTATTAACTAGTAACAATTTTAACACAATCTTGTTTCATTATTCATGATTATCTCACTTAGTATAAAATATTGAGCCTGGCCTCGTTGATCAATCTAAATATTGACCGCTTCTGATCACTGATCACGGCACGCTATGGTGGACAGATGTGTCCATTGGCTTTGATTGGTTGTTGAGATATGGGTCAGACTCTAGGTTGACTAAAAAAGGTAGCTAAACTTTAATTGGTAGTGTGCAGTGGTGGTACCAGCCTGAGACTTGGGGTACAAATAGGGCGGAGTTTTGTGGAGCACATAGGCGCACGCATAAATTACTTTCCAAACACATTATTTATCAAATATTTGTTGCAACATGCAAACGTGTAACAGAACTCCTTTGAAACATTATTTTAACATGATAGTTGACAGGATTGAATTATTGACAGTTGCCATGGTAATACTGCATGTAATATTCATGGGTTTTCAGGATTGGTTTCTTGGTCTATTTCATTTGTAGGTATAAAATGTTCTTAACAATAGGTCTATATGATTTAGACTGTTAGTCTGTTATGAATGGACATGAAAGTCATAAACGCAATCTTTGCGTCTCTTTCAATGATGCAGGTAGACAGGACTGACATGGCGAAAGTGTCAAGTTGTTCAGGTAGGACAGTAAACTGAGGCCATGTGTGCTAGTCATGTTAAAGATCAGTTGGAAATCAAAAAATATAGTAGGCTGATGTGTTTCTGTCAGTTTTCTCCTTGCAATCATTGGCTGCTATGAAATTCAGTTTTGAATCAAATATTATTCTGAAATGATTTAAGGCATTAAAACACAGAACTGGATGTCTGTTTTCTCATTGTTATTGTCTGTTGCTTTGAAATTCTGTATCTACAGATTGTCAATTTGCGATGACTGACTTCACAAATCTTAAGATATACCAGAAGTTGATGTCAGTTTTCTTCTGATTTTCGTTTGCCATGACATTTTTGTCTGAGATAAGACCAGTTTCTATTAACGACTACAAAAATATTATGCACTTTGCACTGAATCAGAGTTTGTAATATTTTTTCTTGTGGTTATCAGTTGCTATGGTAATCTGTGTGAGCAGTATAACCAGTTTCTATGTATGACTGCAAAAATATATTTTAAATTCCTAAGTTTTCACTTTGCACTGAGTCTGGATGTTTGTCATATTTTTCCTAATCGTCAATAGCTATGAAATTTTTGTCTAGGATAAGACCAGTTTCTATGTACGACTGTAAAAATATTATGTAAATTCCGAAGTTGACAATTTATGTACTGAATCACCGTTTGGAAATGTGCTCTTCAGTTGCTATGAAATTCTGTGTCTATAAAATAACAAGTTTCTATGACCCAATTGCACAAACATTATGATAAAACCAAACACTCAAAATATCTACAAAATAGAAATGTGCTCGGCAGTTGCTATGAAATTCTGCGTCTACAAAATAACCAGTTTCTATAACTCGACAGTACAAATATTATGATAAAACACTAGATCAGATCGTCTCCACCCTGTTATCTAATATTGACTCTCATTCCACTTAGTTTAAATCAATTAAAACAATATATATCTCCCTTTAGATCTGTTTTCATCTCGCTTACTTCAAGTTCTATGTCCCAATTTTAGTAAAGTTTGAAATAATAATAGAAAAATTTTTACCCTGGTTTCTCCCTGTCAGAGATATGAGGATGAACGGGAAACACGCCCAGTTTTCAAACCGAAGCCTAGTGAGCTACAGGCTGTGAATGTTATATCTGTTGACTGTCAAGAATAAAAGAGAGGAGAGTAATGGAGATGTCCATGCAAAGTTTCGTTTATACAGGTCTATATAGCATGCTTTCAAATATGCAATAACAGCAGAAAATGGTGATTTTAAAACTTAATGTGATTCAATTTTTTTCAGAGATTAGAACCTTTAGCATTACCCAAACTAACACCAGAAATGTTGGCAGAAAAACAGAAATTAGCAGATGAGAAGAGGTTACAGGTATGTATACAAACAATTATCAAAGAAAGACCTGGATTAATGTTAATTGAGCTTATATTATACCAGATATTCTAGGATGTCCCTGTGCCAGACATGATATCCATATACAGTCAAGGTGTCTGTTTTTCCCTTTTTTGTACGAAATCATTAGTATAATTAATGCAAGAATGTTGATCTCATGGTGTTGCCCGTCTTCATCAGTCCAATTAGGTGCAGAAAAGTAGGACATAAAACTCCATTCCTTTCATTTGTTTTGTTTGCCTCTCTAACATCCTTCTCTTCTCCCCATGGACTAAATGTTAGACAGGACCATGTCCTTGTGTATTGGGCCTAACTCTGACCCATGTAAAATAAAGCGTTAATTATTATTATTACCACTATGAATATATAAGATTGTGTATTAATACGAAGCTTTGATTAACATCAGACAGTATCAATATCTCAATAAGAATTCTGTAAATAACAAGTGTTTGTTTACACATTGCTACTCTTCAAAATGGTGATCAATATATTTAAATCTGATAAATGCTATTAAAATCTAAGAGTGAACTGTCTGTGATTATGGATGTTTATTTTGTGCAATCAATACTGTAATAGATGCTCTGTCTTGTTTTCTTTGAAGCGTGAATTATCTCTTGTTATCGTTATGAGAAAATACACGCTGCTTCATCATGTGACAAAACAAATAACCTGGCGAAGCAAGAATGGAGATGATGAAGCAGTGTTTATTTCCCAATGATGATGATAAGACCAAGATTTACATTGATCAATCTTTATAAAAAAAAAAACAAAAGAATTTTTTTAAACTTCAAAAATGTGCTATTTGTTCAATTTGACCATGTCTGTCAATCATTAAGTGGGCGTGTTTGATGACAGGGATTGCTGTATATCATCTTATGTTAAGTTTTCGAGAATAAGAGTCCAAGTTTGTGAAATGCTTAGCATGCAGATTAAATATCTCTTTAAGCACTGTCAACAACATACATGTTTATGAGTCAGAACGTTTTAACTTGATCAATTATTGATTTATGCATCCTGTCTATTTGCAGCAATTAAAAAAGAAAGCCAGTTCATCGAGTAAATCATCACGAAGGAGGAAAGAACTGATGAAAGCAAAACAATTTGAAAGAGAACAGACGTCCGAGATCATTCACTTGGTAAGTGTTTGTCCATTTGCAATATTTGTTATTATTAATTCCAGAAAACTTCAAAAATTAAAAACTGATTACTCTTCCTGGAACACCCTTTGGTTTCTCTTTAAAGATATGCAATCCGACTCCTACCTTAAAGGGATTGAAAAGAGGGTTTTGCAAACTTTTTATGTGCATCAAGGACAAGGATAGAATCGTTTTGCGCCATTTTCAATCAGACGTCTGCCCCAACTTGTATCCAACACAATGTTTACTTCCTTTAAATCATAAAATTATTAAAATTACAGAAAGATGAACAGATGAAATCAGCAGAAGAAAAACGAGTTGCTAGGTTACGAGAAATTCAGGAAAAACAGAAATTACGAGAAGAACGAGCCAAGAGAGCCAGAGAAAAGGTGAGGACAAGACTCCCAGTTTTACACCATGCCTAGCCCTACAACTTTATTCTCACCCAGGCAGATATTAAATTTGAGGAACTGGGTAGGACTAGAGTTCTGCGTAAAACCAGGTCCCTTAGAAAAAAATAAGAAAAAAACCCAAAGAAATGAAATTGAATTTGATTTTTCGGGGAAAAAATAGATTTGAAACTATTTCTATTTTTCAGGCAAAAAGATTAAAGGAAGCTGGTGAAGATTTAGAAATTGATGTAGAAAAAGATGAAGAATACAATAACAGTGATGGTGAGGATCACTTTCATAATTTCAAAAATCACCACAATGGTTGCTTTTCAGACATTAATTATGATGAAAAATTGTAGTAGGGGGAGGGGAGGAGGGGGGGAGGGGAGGTGGGGATTATTTTGTTATCTTTCAAAAACCCTTCTTCCTTTTCTGTCTTTTAAAATCAGCACAGCAGAATGTTGTGAACATCTTGGAAATAATTACAGTCTAAACTATCTTGCATTTGCGTTGAGCTGTTGGCAAACCAAATGACAGGTCAAATTTTTATGTTGAATTGTGGGAGAACTGAACCAAATGCTATACAGATAGATGAAATTGAACGTTACGATCTGAATATTGAAACTATATTCTTTTAACAAATAATTGTTCTTTTTTATTGGTAGCCGACTCATGGCCAGGTGATGAGAACAAGATTGAACGAAAAGATCAGAGAGCCGAGTCTGGATATTCTAGTCCACATAAACAACAACGAAACCCACGGGAACATCCAATGAGTGCCAGCACGGTAGATAGCTTCGACACTGCCTTTACACGTCAACCCTCTAAAGCTTTACAGATTGCACAAGACACAGATAATTTCTTTGATAGCTGATAATATTATACATCAGGGTACACGCTGAATCAAATTCTTATTCTCAAGTGACTTATTGATCCATATTCACCATATCAAATTATATCCTCCACCTGTGCTTTTGTATTATAAATTATCTCCCCTTAATCTCTCCTTACATAAGAGCTCAAAAATTCAGTCAGCTGAAAAAAAGAAATGTAATGTAAATTTCTAAAAGTGAATTATGCTTTGTACGTCAACATATCCTAAGTATAAGTTGGCATCAGAAGGACATAAAAAAATTTGCTTGCTTTCATCAAACAAAAGTTCTTCTTTTGGGTTAGCGTGAGTCTGATGACCTCGGACGTCTTCTCAAATCATTCCAGTTGACCCAGCTGTAAATGGGTACTGATAGTCCAGACTAGATCGATGTCAAGAGGTTTGATCAAGGATCAGCTGGTAGACAGAATCCTCGTGAACCCAAGTTATTATCCTTGTAAATATATGGTCTTTTTCTATCTTTTTGGTATAATTTATAAGGTGAATATGGATCATAATATTTATTCTTGTAAATAATATTTATTTATTTGTAAAAGATGCATTTGAAACAATTTTATTCATTACACTGTGATACTACTTATTCAATACTTTCGTGCAAAATCGTTTTGCTAGTTAAGGTAAAAATATTGGCCAGAAAAATGTTTATTATTCCATTCCAAAAATACCGCTCTCAAAAAACTGAATGAGAAAAGCTAAGTCAAAGACTCTCAGCTCTCCAGGTGTATTTTGATGCTGAACATTTAATTTTGTTGCTAAAATCAGTAAATTTGACTTTTGCAAAGTTTCAGACATGTTAAAAATTTCAACTTTGAAGGAACCAAAAGTCATTCAAATTCAAACCTAATGTCTTCTTCTGAGGTATCAAAATAATGAACAATATTGATGTATTATAGAAGTCATTGAACAGTATTAAGGTTTTAAACCTCATTTATTATGTAGTCAGGCATTACACTGTACAATATATACTGTATTATGTTAGACAAGGGCAGTAACTCTGTACATACAGGAGATATCTGCATAATAATTAGTAATCAAGTTGATTTAATTCTGATCCAAGTTCAGTACTGGTTACACTGTTAAATATATTATGCTAGACAAGGGCAGTAACTCTGTACATACAGGAAATATCAATTAATAACAGAGAATCAAGCTGATTTAATTCTGATCCATGTTCAGTATTGGTTACACTGTTAAATATATTATGCTAGACAAGGGCAGTAACTCTGTACATACAGGAAATATCAATTAATAATAGAGAATCAAGCTGATTTAATTCTGATCCATGTTCAGTATTGATTATATTTCATATGCTTACTTTATACAAGGACAGTAACTTTCTAAAAATTGAAGATTATATTCCTCCAATGATAAAGTTGAAGTAAATTCCAACCGTCCAATACCTTGTGATATATTGTTGATTGTCAGTCATATTTAGTTTAGACAAGGGCAATAACTATTGTTTTTAAAAAAAAAAGATAACCATAATTATTGATACGTCCAATTTCTTGTGATATTTATTGATTGTTCTGTGTTCAATATTTTTGACATTTTTTTCATGTTTATAGAATTTATTATGATCATATAGAGATGTGTTTATATATTATATAGTATTATACATATTATATTTGATTAACCACTGCTGAGCAAACCACATTTTGTTATTGAATATTTTTGTCTTGCCTGTTGATATTTTTGTATATTTATTAAGTCTTAGATGGTGATGAGAGCTTAGTCTCATAAAAGCACTGGCCTAGGTCACAAAGTATAGACTCATGTTAAAATAAGGTACAAAAGTTTAGAAATATTAATAACTTAATTATGCATGGCTAAGATTAAAATTATATCATTATTTAAACTGATGATAAATCCTGTAATATGAAATCTGAAGAATAAACTCTCTATAAGAATGAACATAAACTAGTGTCCAAAAGAAACGATACCTCCTGTTTGCAACGACATAAAAAAAAACTAAACAATGCAGAAGTTTAGGATTGGTGTTATGCTTTTGAGAAATCCTTTCACAACATCTGTACAAAAATTTCATTTCAATAAAATCTGTACAACCAATATGACAAGCCTTTAAAGATGGGTGGGGTCGAAAAAAGAACATTTCGTTAGAGCACTGATCACAGAAACAACGGGAAATGTCACACCACACGTCACAAAGTCAAGTCAGTAGCGGGTATGTCCACCGTGAGCATCAATACATGCCAGAACACGCCTACGGACTGATGCCGTCAAACGTATGATGACGTTGGGAGTGATGCGTTGCCATTCCTCGAGGAGACATCGTTCCAAGTCCTGGACGTTGACTGGAGGCACACGGCGACGTCGGATTTGCCGATCGAGGTGGTCCCATAAGTGCTCGATGGGATTCATGTCCGGTGAACATGCGGGCCATGGCAAAACCTGTACGTTGGCGTTGGCAAGGAAGTTCTGTGTCAATCTTGCTGTGTGTGGCCTGGCATTGTCATGTTGGAAAATGAGTCCACGAGGCTGTTGCTGAATAAAGGGCACCACAACAGGCCGTAGGATGTCTTCAATATAACGCTGTGCATTCAGGTTTCCACGAATTACGACAAGCCTCGTTTTGACGTCACCACATATGCCACCCCAAACCATTAACCCTCCACCTCCAAACAGCCGGACCTGTTGGATACAGTTAGGCGCCAAACGTTCACCAAATCGTCGGTATACAAGCTGCCGTCCATCGCTTTTGAAGATGGGGAATCTGCTCTCATCAGAGAACATAACACGTGCCCAGTCCCGCCGTTGCCAACGTCGAACTCGCCTGGCCCAGATCAGTCTGTTGTTCCGGTGTCGAGGCGTCAGGAGCGGTCTGCGGTAGGGATGACGTGGCCGGATACCATACTGCCGTAGTCTCCTGTAGACGGTCTGTCGACTGATCCTGTGTCCCAGTGCTGTAGCCGCCGTGGACGTCGCTGTTACGGTGCGTTTCCTCAGGTGTAATACCCGAATGTAACGATCTTCACGGGGCGTGGTTACTCGTGGTCTTCCACTCCTGGGCCTGTCTGACGTCTGACCTGTCTGACGTAACCGCTGCATCAACCTGGTGATAGTGATGCGTGCGCAGTCCAACCTTCTGGCGACGTCGACGTGTGTCGCTCCTTGTTGGACCATTCCAACGGCTCTCTCTCTCTCGATGGCTGTCAAACGTGGCATATCTTGTGTTCTTTTTGTTGCTGTGATATCAACGTGTCTGATCAGCCGTTTTATACAGTTTTTATTCACTTTCATGAAATTTACGTTTTTTCCCGGAAGTGATCACGTGTTCCCGGTATTTTTTATCGACTATGCTGTGTTTGGGATGTGCAATACGAATTGGCATGTTTTCATATTAGACAATTCACTTAGTAAAAAACAATTTTGAAAATAAGTCGGTATCGTTTCTTTTGGACACTAGTTTACATTTATAATTAAGCAAGAACAAATTTGGTAGAAAATTGCTAAAAAATCAAATCTGTCTTATGGTCTGTCCCAAGTTTTTGGTGAGGGTAGGAATTTGCTGTAGTTCATGGCCTCTTTCCTCAATAAATAATAAAAGAATTTATCATAAGTGTGGAATTTTAGTTAAAAAAAAAAGAACATACTTAAGACAAAATTGATTGTAAGATTTTCTATGAAAGAGACCTTTATTCCCTGTGTATTATTGAGATTGGGTGGTCTAGCCAAATACCAATTTACTAAAAAGAAATTTTACGATTCTAAAACCCTTTTTATACGACCAAATGCTACTCACATAAACATATTTGCTCGTGGAGTATAATTGCTTATAAGTAAATATACTTTTGCACGACCTCTTGTGGTGAAGTAAAATACTCGTGGAGTATATTTGCTTACGTAAGCAAAGGCGTTTATACAACCATTTTTACTTATGTGAGTATACTTACCAACCTAAGTATAATTACTTATATAAGTAAACGTGGTGGTATAAACAGGGCTTTAGTGAAGTTTCCAACAGAGAAATACAATGTGAATAGTTTTGATACTTTGGTCAATGGAAATAGATACCATTAGTGAGAAATTATTGTAATAAACAAATTAGTCCCTATTATGTGATAAATATGTTTTTCCAAGACATTTGTTTCTTTTTATTTGCACTACTGAGACGTTCAGCCGTTAAGTCACAAGTAAATATATTCTCACCATGTGGGAAATCTATCCTGTTTGATATTTTTGGCACAAATGAGCTGTGAACACTATTACTGATTGTGTAAGCTTAAAAATTCCTGTTTCTGAAACTAAGGTATGATTGGTCGAACGGTGCTCCTATAAGTCACATGTGAGCCATACTGGCACGTCTGTAGTCTGCAACAAATGCTTGTACAGGACTTTCCCCAAGAAAATATTTTAGTTGAGAAGTTTGTTATATTAACAATTCACTCATTTTGCATAAGAAATAGTCACCAGGTGCCAGCACACGAGCCATCTTGGTCCGAGATTGTCACCTACTTCAAACACAAGTAGAATCTCGCGTGCGCCTGTGCTTCCACAAGATTGTGTCGCCGACAGGATTTATAGTATCAAACAAGTTTTATACTGTCCCCGATAGTTTTATCGTCTGACCGTCACCATTCACAGATTATTTTTGCCTTCAATTGCATGCTCAGCATGTGTTTATGGACAAGGTGGAAAACGACCAACTGGAATATTTTGTTTCGTTTCGGGGTGCCCGTGCTGGTTGTTGAAACTCAAGACAAGACTCTAATTAACGAGACCTATTTACCTCTGATCACGAGTTTAAAAGTTACTTAAACCCAAAACAGCAGCTGGTTGATGAAGCAACGAAATCACTTGATTTTAAATTTTTTATTAAATCTTTATATCTCTAGAACTGATTAGACTTTCAATACTTCTTGAAAACATTGATATAACAAAACTACATTAATGTTTGATCTTATACTGACCATATAAATAATGTTTGATAGTTCTTAATTACAAAATGAAGTACTCAATGGCACAAAATGGAATTTCGAGAACTGAAAATCTGAAATGAATAATGATTATGGATGATTTGAGTAGTTAAGTTTGTGTCCCTTGATTACTTAATCCACTTCCTCCATCTTGGATGTATCATCATCGTCACCTTCTAATGGCGGCATGTCGTCTGTAGCTGCTTCCATAGCATCGCCACTGCCATCATCATCGATATCGATTCCTAGACCTAACTTGACCATTCTATGAATTCGGTTTGCGTGTGATGTAGGATCCTCCAGTGTAAATCCAGAAGCTAATAAAGAGGTTTCGAATAACAACAAAACTAAGTCTTTAACACTCTTGTCATTTTTGTCAGCATCAGCCTTCTCTTTCAATGTTTTCACAATAGGATGATCTGGGTTGATTTCTAAATGTTTTTTGGCAGCCATGTATCCCATGGTGCTAGTATCACGTAATGCTTGTGCCTTCATGATCCTCTCCATGTTGGCTGACCAACCGTACTGACTGGTGACGATACAACACGGCGATGATACCAATCTGTTTGATACCACAACCTGAAAAATAAAGATAAAATTTATGAAATTATTTGTCAAATGCCTGAAACCTCCAGGAGAGTGCCTAAAGGGCTTGATTTAACTTGTAAATTGTGGCAAAAAATATG